GTGATTGTTGCGTATTTTAGTAATAAATTGTACCGCAATTCATAGCTGAAACTTCGGTGCATCGTTCGATGTGAAAGTAAAAAACCTACCTGATTAGCCCTGAAACTGCGCTACTTTCGAATTCAGGAGCCAATCGAGCAACAGAGCCAATAGAGATGAAGAAGCCTTCTGATGTCCCTCAACACGAACGTAAGCAGGATAGTGAAGGACAAGTTGCCGTCACCGTAAAAGAAAAAAGTACAGTTGGACAAGGAAAAACTCGAGCAGAAGTCGATACTCTTAAAAACGAACAGCTCTCACAACCCACAGTTATCGCGGCGAGCCATGACGTGAAACCTAAAAATTCAGTTACCAGAACTAAACCAAATGTTACCAAGACCACTGAGTCCCCAATGAAGAAGCGGCAAAGGTATCCGGAGTTAACTAGAGTTGATCAGATGTTAACACATCTCAGATCGCTTGTCAATGATCTGAGAAGAGAAATTGGACTCGAACTCGATTATGATGATGTACATGGAGGACTTAAACGCGTTGCACCAATAGCTCAATCCGTGAACGATGTGTCATCTGGCAAACCTAAGAAGCAAAGAAGCAATGCAACAACATCAGTCTCGACCACAACTAGAAAGGTATGAACGGCTTCATGTCTAGAACGCTTTGCTAAGTGACAGTTGACATCGTAATCTTATCTGTTTTCGTAATGCTCATTGATTAAAAAGGGTTCATTCTTCACTCAGCTGTGAACAGTACTGTTTTCAAAGACCTTTCCTATGATACACATTCATATGACAGTCTTAAGATTGAGTTTTAAGTCATGTTCATTATTAAATGTTTTTGAGCATAGATATTCTTAGAATGCTGGCACATTGGCCCTGATGTTTGCAAAATCTCGTCCATTTTCCAATAATGCAATCCTTTAAACTCGACCCCAATTCCGGGATAATCCCGGGATTGGGGTCGAGTTTAAGGAGTGGGGATCCTGTGTCTCGGACGAACAATATTTTGCACTGAACAATTATGATTTTAGTACGATTCTTTGAAATTGGATGGAGGAGAGGATGAAAGCGATTACGATTACTATGATACGGAAGACGAGATTCAGGCCATTATTAACAGGCTTCGGCGTGAGCGAATGAAGTTCGCAACCGAAGAGGCTTCAGGTGAAACGGTAAGGCTTCGTTTAAAAATGAAGAATGTCACTTTTTGAAAGTTCATTCAGTCACTGATTAAATAGATCCGTTTCAGCCACAGTTGGCAGGTGTTCGACGCGACCTCTCAAGACTACTTTTACGTTTAAGACGTTCGTCGGCAGGAAACGGCTGGAAGCGTTGACTTCAGGTAATTGAGACGAGTGATGCAGCAATGTTGAATGAATCTAGAGAAATATATTTACTCTATGCATTACCTCTTATCCACCAGCTCTAATATTGAACAATCAACGACAGTGTATGGCAGAAAAAACGTATCACTGAAGATTTTTTAAAATTATGGAAAGAAAAGCCAAGTTGTTCTTCGAAATTGAAGTGAGCCAAATCAGCGCTTACGTTAAACATGCTGTTGTAGTTTTCGTTGCGATGCGATTTTGTGAATTGTCTTATCGATGTATAATTTGAATTTTTATACACTACTTTTACAAATTAGCTCTTAAATACAAACATACCTCTCGGTGACCTCCTGAATAATGACTATTTTCTGCTTTCCAATGTGCATGCAACAATTGCGTGACAAATCAGATCAGTGGATGCATTTGAAAACGACTGTTAAATTGAGTGGATGTTAATAAAAAGATTCATGCAAATAAACTTCCTAACATTCTTGACAAACTTTGATGTTCGATTCTTGTAAACTTCAGGAGTACTAATATGCAGGCGCACCTCAGAGTGACAAATTCTTTCGAATATCGTAATTCCTAGGATCCCAACAACAAAGAAAACCGCCATATTTCCTAGAAGTAATCATGCAAAATTTCGGTTTAAAAATTGCTCTAAAAATAGCTGTGTCAAATTGTCTTCCGCTTATGGCGCGATGCTTTTCAATTTCGGAATATGCGAGGTCTTCCAATCCAGAAATGCGGTTTCCGATTCGAAGATATCCCTCCAAAGGTTTCCTTCAAAATGCTCACTCGAAAAAAATCGCTGCATCAAATTGTTTCCTTTTTCGCTTGTTATAGTGCAGATGGCACCACACTTCAACATAATTTTCTTCGATGATCTTTTGAAAAGGTTACTTCGTCCAATTAACAAAAGCACAGTTCTCGAAAGTGAGATTGAAAAGGTTCAGAAATTTGAACTTCCTCCATCAGTGCGTTTAGACGCGTAAAAATTCAACCCAACTACATTACAAATTACACCTTTTGTGTAGCGAATTTTCTCACAAATCGTTTTTTTTAATCAAAGGACAAATTTTTACTTGAACAGAAAGCAGTGCTTTTCACAGTTTCCGTCGTTTTCTTTGCATACAAAAATGTGTCGTATCAACCAACACGGATGGAATGCGTTGATTACTGAACAGCACTTGACCGTGTCCGTACTCTCTTTATGCAAGCCTGTTTGAATGTTGAAAATTAAGGAATTAATCAAATCGTAGTGCGTGCAGAGTACGGCAGCTGGTTGTTCGTGCTGCCGAGAGCATGATTCAATGACAAACCGCATGAATCGTTGCCTAATGAACTTGAACGCAACTCAATTTACATAACATCATCAACTCTTTCGAACGATATCCGACGCCTTCGCACCGCCGAATGTCTGTCCTTCAATTCAACGACGAAATTAGAAATCAGATTATCTGATATGCAACTAATCCAACGTCAACAGCCACTCATTAATGATAGAAGCGGTGTGTTTTTCATGAGATATGAGAAAAATTATTGCACTTCACTCGCATAAAGCCGGTTCAGAGGATCAAGAAGCACTTCAGTTGCTATCGGCATGGAAAGCTTCCAGCGGCTGAATTCCTTCATGGGAGGAACATTAATCACTATGGTTTCGGATCATTCATGCGATTTGATCACTTATCACTCATGTGATTTGATCACTTACCATTCATGCGAGTTCATGCGATCCAAAGCAAATGTTGTATCCGCTCTCATCAAACTCAAACGCCTATTCTTGGCATCTAATTCGACTCAACTGAATGCTCTCAGATCGTGTTTGCAAATTTCAAGATTATCGGTAAAAAGCAGTGCAAAATTTGGCATTAATCGATGGCAGTGTTGGTACTGAATGGGTTGTGTAATGAATTCTTGTGAGAATGGAGCCATTGATTGCGCTGTTTGCAGTCATTTTGGTGCCAATGTCGACGACAATGGATGTTTGATTGAAGAATGCCGGCAGCCCAATCCACTTATTCGATCATACGCGAACGCACTACAGAGTTTTCTTAGGAAGCAAATTCTTCTCTCAACGGGTTCCGACGAAATCAGTTTCATTAAGCAGAAATAAAATTTTGTTGAGCAATCGCCATCAATAGTCTTGATTAGACTGCAGAACTGGAAAAGCTCAATTGAAGAGCAACGCTTGCAAATGATTACTCTTAAATGTTCCTACGATTTTACATCTATTCGATGTGATAGGTTTGTTCGTTTTGGTAAGCGTTTGTGTTTTGCCTGTGCTGGTCTCATGACTCGAAACTATGAAAGCGGCCTGCAAATCTCTGCAGACTATACTCGTTTTCTTACGCAATTTGATTCGACTTCATTAGATCAAGAGTTCGAATTTAATGCTCATACGTAACCTCACGCTGAAGGAAAGTTCATTGACGTGAAAATATCCCAGAGGTGATTTGAGTACGCAACACAGTAAACAGGAATAGCTGATTGTGAGCATCGAAGGTGAGCGATGAAATTTCCGCATAATGCATTGCGTTAAAATATAATACTTTCACAAAATTTTAAATTTCCAGCTACACACAGTGTTTCTCACTGCATTCATCAAGTATTTTTTTCAATTACTGATGTGGTTCACCCATAGAAGCTACATTTTGAAATCAAGGGCATAGCGCTCGACCGTTATGACTGAACGCTGTTTATTGCTGGCTATGAACAGTTGCAATTACGCTGCATTCATTTTCTGATGCAGGCTGAATTTATCATAGACTGCGCAAAATTGTCGCTTCACATTTTATTCAATTGCATAATCCGAAAAAAATATTTCGGTGATGCGTTACACAAGGGAGAGTAGTCAATTTCGTTTGCAAATAGATGTTCAATTCTGATTATCCTCCATCGGTGCGCTCTAGTCTGTGAATCAAGCGATGCAATTTCAGACGGTATCATCTCATCATCTGTTGAAAAAAAAAACGCACCAACCGAATAAAAGAGTTTACCATCTATTCGTAATTCAATATGCGTTCACAAAATTGATTGAATGTTCGTTCGTCCGTTTTTGCTGGACGCCGAAATTTCAATTTGCGTTCAGAAAAGCGAATCGAATCGCTGATAAAAATTTTTCGGCTCGTTTAATTTCATAATGCCAACGAATGAAACGCAAACATTTGCTGTGTAAATTTGTTTGCTATCAGTGTTTTGGAGGAAATCTACCAGTGCTAAATCAGTTTCGAGATTTTTCATGTTGATTCTGCAGAGAGAGAGAGAGATTAACGTTCCGACACTGAGAAGATGTGATCGTTTGAACGGATTCAACCCATTATCGGATTTGAGCCACGGATGCAGCACTGTTTAATCCACACAGATCATTCAAATCCATCATCATAGTCCACACAAATCCATCATAAACGAAGCTTTACGCAGAAATTGTTTGCAGCAGCAGCAAAACTGATCTTTCGTACTTTTCTGAGTTTCTTTGACATATTCAAACCATCAAGTCTGATATACATCATTAGTGGTTAACAGTGGTCGCTGCCAGTTGAAGAGGGATGAAATTGATCATGACTATAAAGGCCTATGATTGCCGAGGAAGGAACGGTTTGAAGTTTTCCGCAATGCGAATGCAAATCTGCAAAAGTTTTGTGCATGTCGTTGCTCTAGCAGTAACTTTTTAACATCTCATTTGCATNGATGTTATCTCACCATCTTCAGTGAAATCTCATCCGTTTGTCGAGTGTCGCATTAGCATGAGTACAACTTATTACATTTGATTGTAAATCCTAGTGGCTATCAAATTTTCCAACGTATGACTTAATTTCGTCAGAGATTGAATGTCCAACTGATTTCTAAGATATAGAACCTATGGTCATTCCAGAGCAGCATGGACTCTCGAAATGAGTAATAACTCCCTTGAGATCACGCAGTGAACATAAATCATTGAAGATCACTTGTAAACAGCGTATGCGGAACAAAAGGTCAGCCCTAATGTTTGAAGTAGTAATTGAGTTTCTCATGTTCATTTTTATGTTTTCAGATCTTGATCGTTACTTTTCATATTCTCATCGGTATTCCTTGAACCAATGATTTTCAGACGTAAGATCGTCCCGCACTTAGAATACCTTACATAATCTCGCTTTCTTTATTGAGGCTTCAGCGTAAATCTTGAGCAGAATGATAATCAAGTGAAACTTATAAGTTTTAACGATTCGTGTCTCGGGCATGAAAAAATTTGCTCAACGATAAAATGTGTTCATTAACTGCGGATCAGGATCAATGATGTCTCAGTGTTCAACTTCCGGAATTTGCTCAACTATGATCGACTAGTATTTGAGTTTTCTGTTGCAAAGTATGAGCCATGAGAAACGCCCAAACAATAGCCATTGAATTCTTCATAGCATTTTCTCAATCGACTTGCTTGCATCCGTCGTCGAGGAATAACAGTTCAATTCGTATTTGAGTCTTCTCATTAGCGTTGTCAATGTGCCGAAAATTTTTAAGCTTTACTTTTTACAACCCATAAGTTTTTGAAACTATATTTTTGTCCCCAAAACTATATTGTAAAATGTACTCTACATCCCAAAATTCTGAAAAAGTTGCTTTACATTCCATCATGAAAGTGCTGATCATTTATACTTTATGTCACTTCTGATCCCTCGAAATATTCTTCACCAAAGCGCTATTCATCCTCAAATTCTTTATATATACTTTGAGCATACCGGGTATATTATAGGCAACTCTCAAGTATCATTTACTTTAAGTGGTATGACAGCAACATTCATCCTTATTGATGAAATTTTTCGACCTATGATCGTGGAATTCTCAAATAATATAGTTTCCAATCGTATCAATGAAGCGCATGCGCATGCTTATCATGAGCATTTTTGACGAGTAAGTTCTCATCAGATCACGCAGATAGCGCGCTCAGAGATGACGCAGTGAGTAACGCTGAATTCCGGCGGAACAATTTGTTTTCGAAAACAAGAAATCCTTATCTACAAATGGCAGGGTG